AAAAAAAAAAAAAAAAAAAGAAACCCTGTTCTATCAGCATGTTTGAAAATTCTGGATCATTTTTATTGTTCTCTATGCTGTTTTATTTATGTATTTGTTTTTGTTATTTTGGTTTTTTTTCTTTTTAAAATGAAGAGCAAAATTTATATGTATATACAAGGATAGCTTGGATAGGTGTATCGCTGATGTCTGTGGTTTATTGAAAGGAACAGTCAATACTTAAAATTTTCTTTTTCTTGAGCAATTTTGCATGCTTGAATCTGGTAATCAGAATGACTGATCTGAAGATAACAACATGCATGTAAGAATCACCGTTGAACTCCTACCATCCTGTATGGTGAAGTTCTGCATCATTTCCAATGTTTTTTTTTTAATTACTTGTTACTGTCTTTGATTGACTGATCAGTTTACATTCTTCTGGGGAACTGAGCAACTTCGTTGAAGATAACATTATGTAATGTAGCAACCATTTTCAATTCCTATCATTTTGTTTTGAGGTCATGTATCATTTTTGTTGTTTTTGTGTTGTTTTGATTTTGTCTTCATTGTTGTTTTGTTAGTTTTTTAAATCTTTAGAATAAAAAAAGAAACCCTAAAGACTTTAAAAACATATGTTAAAGGAAAGATACTAAATGACTCTATCCAAAATAATTCTAATTTTCTTTCAGACAGTTACTTCAGTCTCTTCCACCCAATATCCTAAATTTAAATTAAGTTAAAATTTTTACTCCTGAAATTTTGCTGAGGTGTGATTTCTCTCTTCTGTTATTCTCTTTTAAGTCAATTTAAGTGAATTTAATTAAACAAATATTTTACGGCCTTTATATGCCTGGCACACATCCTAATAGGGGAGTGACAATATATGACGAGCTCATAGTCTACATGGCATAAGTTTTTCAAAGGACCTGTGGTCAGGGAGAAAGGATAGATTTGAGAGCATTTTCTTTTCCTCTAAAAAAAAATCTCACTCTAGTGGGAAAATTAAGAACCATGATGGTGTTCTTATCTCTTGACATCTATTTTCCTTTTCTTAACTTCCTTGAATTTTTATTTTGTTAGTCATAACTAATGCATATACTAGCTCTGCAGTATGCCAGGAAGCTCAGGCCTAAGGTAGATACTGTTCTTGTGCCCTGACCTCAGTGATTTGTTGATGTGTGTACCTCTGTAGGAAAGCCACCACAGCATGAGGCTAATAAAAGACAGAGGCTTAGAAAGCAATGATTCCTTAATCAAACCCGTCCTGAAACCCAACAAACCACTAGACTTTCCAGATACATTAGTCAGCCAATCGCTTTATTTTTTCAATTTGTTTCGCCTTATAGTACCTATCAAGCTGCTATAACAAAAGACAGAGAGAAGACTACTTATAAAATAAGACAGTAGTTCTTTTCCTCTTTTTGTATTTTAGTTTGACCTGACCATTCAGGGTGAGAGACAGCCCCGTTGCATCACGCCTCCTCTACCTTGTTCTGCCGTCATCAGGACACCTTCCTTTCAGAGATGCTTGAAGCTGAGCCACTGCCATGTCTTCACCTCAGCCTAGAGGAAAAAGGGAGAGAAGGGCTTGAGACACTCATCCCCAGTGTTTTAAGACTAAAGCCTAGAAATGGCAAGCGTTACTCTATTACACTAGGTTAAATTTAATCATATGGCCATACCAAACTACAAAGACTGGAATATGTGGTCTCTAAGTTCATCCCCAGGTAAAACTTTATTAATAAAGACCAAGGGGGAAATGGAGTGATAGTTAGCTATTTGTCATCCAGCTTGTTTGTTTCTTCTATCTATTCCCACATCAGATTCTAATATAGACAAAAATATTATAAGGAGAAGCATCCCTACTAACATTTGTATGTAATGAGATAAGTACTGCAGAAATACAAGAAGTGCAAAATATGCCCTCTTGAGGGTTGCCTCAGGGACTAAAATTGCAGTTCTACCATTGTTTCTTTCAACATTTGTTTAAGTGAATAGACTTAAGTCATTAAAAAATTGCTGAGGATGTCCAAGAATTTTCTTTGATCTGTCTTACTATTTCTTTCTGACCCAATCTATTATCTGGTTTTCATTTAGTCTTCTGTTTTTTTTCAAGGGCAGTCTCTGCAATGCCCTTTTATTGACTGTGGTAACTTAATTTTCTGAGCACATGAAGAATAAAAATGTTTTCCAGTTATTACTTTTACTTGTCCAAACAGGGGTAAAGAAATAGACAATGATATTTATATATAAAAAAAAACTTCTTCAAAATGACCAAAACTTGATTAATATTTATTGTCATTCCACTATCTATGTGTAAGTAGCTCATTTTAGACATAAATTTCAGCATAAAATTACAATAATGGAATTTATTTTGAGACAGGGTCTTACTATGTAGTTCAGGCTGGCCTTGAACTGACAATATAGCCCAAACTGGCCATGAACTTGCAGTTATCCTCCTGCCTTAGCCTTCTGAGTGCTGGGATTACAGGTGTATGCCACTATATCTGGCTTCATCACAAAATATTCTAATTAAAATCTCAAATGATATTATAATATTATTTAGGAAAAAAACAATTTTGTATATTCATAGAGTTCAACTTTATTAACAAAAAGAAAACCAACTCATTATTGAACCTTAACATTCTCTTCATGTGCACTCTTTTTCCTTTCCTGAGCAAACATACATCCAGACATTGGCTTGATGGGAAGGATGTTACGGGTTCAAACAGAAAAACCTAACATTATTCTAAGCCTACTTCTGTCCTGGCCATTGTTTATAGCATTTCACTCCTATAGTTATTAAATATTAATATTCATGGTTAAAGTTATCTACTGAATTCCAGCGATTCTTATTCTTTAAGTCTGAGGTAACACCTAGAAATCTTTCTATTTCTCAAATGTCTGGGAGGATTCTGGTGTGCTTGACCCTAGAATCATTTTATGAGAACACTTCAGTTTGACAGAAATCAAATTCAAATCAACTTCATCAACAACTGATGCTGCTGTCTGGATCCTGAGATACTCAACACCAAAGTCCCAGAACAATAAAAACAAAGGGAAGGCTCGGGAATGAAGGGAACAGCTGCTGCTTGAGTGTCACCATGACTCCGTTTCTGTAGTAATCTCTATTCTCATAGAAAACAGCCTGGATAAAGTCCTAATTTGTAAGCCTCAGCATCATTCAGGCTGAAACATTTTTAAAGTGCCAGGGAGATATTATTGGCACCGCCTGGACTTACGTAACTGTGATCAGGAAAACAGTCCAGTTGGAACATGAAACCTTCTGCCAGAACTAGGGGATCAAGTGATGAATGAGAGGCAGACAATAGTTAAAGGAGATTGCTGGAGGAAAGCAATAGCTGATTTAGTAGAATTGCCATAGGTGTTCATGACAACTTCATTTTGAAATTGACTTTAGTGTGATTTAACTATTCTAACTTTACAAGGTCTATAAACTGTTAGCATTTAACACCTTCGCTTTCAAACAGCACCTCCAGGCCAAAATTTTTCTCAGAAATATGGAGATGTTGTAAGACTAGATAAAATCCAACACAGTATGAAGTTAGATGAAAATCATAAACAAAGGCAGTTATTGAGAAAATATAGTAGCCCAGTAATAATTATTTCTTCAGTTTACAGTTTTGTGGGGATTTAGATTTCCCAAAATGCTTTCATGAAACATATTCACATGTCCCTCTAACTTACCTGCCAGGCAGCTCACTGCATACTGGGAAGATATCAAGTATCTTGGTTACTTTTTTCTCATTGCTAGGATAAAATACCTGATGCCCAGAATTAAGGAAGGAAAGGTTTGTTTAGCTCACTTAGTTTGTGGAGGTTTCGATCCATACTCAGCTGGCTCCAAGGCAGAGTGTGGCACATGGCAGAGGGCAACAGTTCCTGGTGGTAGAAAACAACAAAAGCAACAAGGGAAAAAAAGGAGGAGCAGGCCTCTTTCCCTCCCTTATATTGTATTCAGGATACCTGCCCCAGGGCAGGTGTAGCATTCATACCCATGATCCCAGCATTGGACCATGAACCAATCATAAACTCTAGAAGCCCAACCCATGACTGTGTGAGGCTTTGAGGGAACATCTAGACACAAACAGTAACATCAAGGATATAAAAACATAGTAGGTAGGAAGGTCTTGCCAAAAATACCTCCCTCAGCCATGAGTAGACAATTGAAGTCTTACCTTTAGAAATTTATTTCTTTGTCTTGAATGGCATTCCCTCTAAAACAAAGTACAAACATCTTTAGAAGCCATTTATGGCTTAGTATAAATGAATTGAGCAAGTCTCTCCCTGAGAAGGTTTTGGTGGTATACAGGGAATATACAAAAGTATGAGGGAGAGAAATAGGAAAAACATTAAGACCCTCCAAGAGAGAAGGTCTAGAGAGAAAAATACTCGAATGGTATGGACAAAATTTCTCCTCTCCAGTCAAATTTTGAGCAACTCTACCCATTCAGTCCCATCCATTCACAGATAAAACTTCTCTGTTGAAATAAATTTCTAGAAATCTGTAAGGGAAAATTTTATGGGAACCAGCTGTCCTCCGGCTATAGATAAGCAGCATGAGACTGCCCAAAAGGTGTTAGGAGTTTCAGGAAAATATCTCCCATCCTGTCCTTGGGAAAAGAAACATACTCAGAGCAACTATCTTGCCTTTGACACTCCCTCATTCCTGAGTCTCCTCACAAAACCCCCAAATGATTGTAAAAGTCAATTTAAACTAACCAATGCTATCTGCTTCTGTAACTTCGCTTGCAAAGGCCCGCCCTTTGTGGTTTTTGGGTTTAAAAGCCGGACTTAACCCCAGCTCGGCGCTCTCTGTTCCTGCGCGTTCAGTGAGCCGCACGCATGCCTGGTAAATAAACTCCCCTTGCTTATTGCATGAGAGAGCGTCTCTTGGAGTCTTCCTTCACGCGGCGAGATTCTCGACCCTTACAAATCTTTATCCCTTCTAATTGGAACCATGTTCATGAGAAAACATTGAAGACCAAACTTGGTATCATTTTCCCTTTTCCTAAAAAAGGGAAGTTTAGTGCTTTTATCTAGAGATCTCAAATATAGCGATCTCTCCCACATATTATGTAGTCTAGCTGATGATTTTTTTACTTAGCATATTTTTCCCCTTTTACTTTTAAAAAAATTCTCATTCTACATTAGAACTAAAGGGAGGATTTTGAAGGCTTTAGAGAATAACTATAGAGATTTCTCAAAAGTTGCTTTCCCCCTTTTTAAAATAATTAATTTTATCAATAATTTATGACATACATAATGATCATATTTATCATAGAGAATTCATACCTGTACTTAACATATCATGTTGAATTCTTTTTTCCTATTCCCTTCCCTTCCTTTTTCTTTCCTTCCCTTCCCTTCCCTTCCCTTCCCTTCCCTTCCCTTCCCTTCCCTTCAACCCTTCCTCTCTCCACCTACAAAACTTTGTTTCCATTGTTTGTCTTCCATTCTTTTTTATTTTGCTTGATCCCTTTTGAGCTCAAATATTCTATTCTTAATCTTAAAGATTTATTCTGTTGGCTGGTCATGGTAGCACACACCTGTAATCCATTCAGGAGGCTGAGGCAGGAGGATTGTTGTGAGTTTGAGACCAGCCTGGACTACAAAGTGAGCTCAAGGCCAGCCTGAACTGTCTCAAAAAGACAAAAAGAAAAAGATGTATTCTGTTATTAAGGGAATTTCCTCTCTTTTTCAAATCCTGTATTGTACTTTGTAGATGCAAATATACACACGTATACATTCATTTGCACATATGTATATGCTTTAAATATAAGATTCTAGGATCCTTTAAAAAAGTTATATTTCCCTCTAACCAACACATCCTTAGTAACCGTGTCTATTGCTGTTACCTCTCAGTTCATCTTCCAAAAAGCTTTTTTTTTTTTTTTGAAAGAATTACTATTATGGTAATAAAATGAATTACAGCAAAAAAAAAAAATCTTTATTATTTTAAGGGAAAAATAGTAAAGAATCACAATTATTAGTCAATATGTTAGTTTATCTACTGCATAGTAGGTATTATTGTTTAATGACTATAGTGTATATATTGGCATTTTATTAAACTAGCATATTGATTAGTACAAAGGTAAATAATTAGAACTATGAGGTAAAATATTTATTTCTCCATTTGAATTCCAAACTGGCAAGCAAATATCAGGTCATATATTATTTAAGTTACTAATCCAAAGCCATAACATAATTTTGTTTCTGAGAAATTACAGATTTTGAAGAAATATGTATTTTTCCTGTTTCGTATATTGACCTGAAATTCTTCAATTAAACTACACTTTATTTATTTATTTTATTATTTATTTATTTATTTGTCTCTTTGAGACAGGATCTCATTATGCAGTTCAGGCTGGCCTTGAACTCAGTTGTGTAGCCCAGACTGCCCTGGAACTCAAAAGGATCCTTCTGCCTCAGCTTCCCAAGTGCTAGGATTACAGGAATGCGCCACCACACCCAGTTTAAATTACAATTTTAAAGGGGTCTGTTCATCTGTAAAATAGATCAATGAATACACTTTCACTTCATAAATTCATTATTTAAATATCAAGCTTGAATGCATAAAACCAGTTGTTTCAGTGGTCATCAAAGTACTGTGCACACACTTTAGTTGCTGTGCAAATTGTCTTAGTTACTTTTCTCCTTGCTGAGACAAAATATGCAACACTTACAAGTTCAGGGGGAAACGGTTTATTTAGCTAACAGTTTGTAGAGGTTTCAGTCCATAATAGGTTGGATCCAAGGCAGGGTGGCATGGCAGACAGGCATCACAGAGGAGAAACAGTTCATGGCAGGCAGAAGGTAGCAAAAGTAACAAGGGACATCCACAGCTCTTTCTATCCCTTCTATCCAATCCAGGCTACCTAGGGCAGGTAGCATTCACACCCTTAATTCTAATGCCTTTGAGCCTAGCATCACATATTATACATCCAGCCACCTTTGAAAAAGTCCACCTATAATTTCATGAGGCCCTGAGGGGGACATCTAGACACAAACCATAACACAAGTGGAATATAATGGTATATTCAATAAGAATTATCATTACTCCACTGATGGGTACAACATCCCCATGATCCTTTCAAAAGTGCCTCCTCGAATAGGAGACTTTTGGGGACATTTTAGCTCCAGCTCCAGACTATAACAAGTAAGTATGGAAGTGTTCCATCTTCTATTTAGGAGTTTATGAATTGAAGAAAAGAGTGCTATTAATTCTTTTAATATTTGGTAAAATTCACCCAGAAGGATAGCTAGTTCTGGGCTTTTCTAATAGGCTTTTGACTTACTGAATTAATGTTCTCATTTGTTATTGGTCTGTTCTTTCTATATCTTCTTAGCTGAGTCTTGGAAGGTTGTATATTTATAGAAACTTATCTGTTTCTTTTAGGCTACTTTGTTGGCATATTTGTATTCATAAGAGTTCATTCAATCTTCTGTTGTTTCTGGGCTATCTGTTGTAATCTTTCCTCTTCATTTTTGATATTGTTTATTTGAGTCCTCTTTTTTCTTAGATCTAGTTAATGTTTGTCAATTTTATCTTTTTTAGAAGATCTAATTTTACTGAATATTTCCATAGTTTATTCTTAATTTGATTTATCTTTGCTCTCATCTTCATTATTTCCTTCTTATAATTTTGGACTTCATTTTAGCTTAGTTTCTTGAAGAATTATGTTAGGTTGTTTAAGATCTTTCTTCTTTTTAATGTAGCATTTATTTCTTTTCTCTTAGCACTGATCTTGCTATATCTCATTACTTTTGGCACATACTGTTTTCATTTTCATTTGTTTTGATATGTTTTTAAAATTGCTTTTGATTTCCTCTTTGAACCAAAAGCCAAGAGTGTGCTGCTTATTTTCCACATATTTGTTAATTTTTTTGATTTCCATCTTGAGGTCGGAGATTAGGGCTAGCGCAAATATCCGTGAAAGAACTGGGCAGGATCTGTCAAAGTCATGGAGACTCAGGTCACATAGGCAGAACACAAGATCCAGGATGACTCTGCACTTCCTGAGCACTGTAGACAGAACCAATCATAAAAGTGCCATTTTCATTCCTTCATTTAGCTCTGGCAAAGCCAAGCAAATATATACAATTTATATATGTTAATTACACCTCTTCAGCAAAGCAGCATTATTATCATATCTTATAAAAACACTAACAAAAAGGAACTTTCACAGGGTTTCAGAAGGCGCCATGAATACTGTGATTGGGTAAGTGTGTTCAAAGTGAAGGAGGAGTATTTTGAGGGAGATTAATGGCAATGTGTCTTTTACTGTAATAAATTTTAAATCTATCTTATATTTTGATCTCCCTTCTGTATATTTTAGCATCTATAAATTTTTTTACACTTCTTGATCAATGTTAGGATCTATTTTTAAAAATTTCTATCAGCATCAGATTTATTAGCGTTTAGACACTCAGTTAAACATACTTGGAGAAAATGAGTAACAGTCACTGCCCTCAAGGGACTTATTGTATTTCAGGGATAATAATATACTTAAATAGCTATAGAAGAAGATGTAAGCTATGATCAATTAAACAAAGCAGTTAGATCTTCATATTATTGTAAGAAAAAATATATAATTTTTTATTAAGAAAACAATGAATGCTGTTGCTGAGTGCCATCTAATGGAAAAGCAACTCATAAAACTATTTTGATGTATCCACATCCACTTTATTCATCCCATTTCAGACTGTGAGACTTCTGGGTCTTCCCCCAAAACAAAATGAGCATGAAATGTAGACATTTCGAATCAGCTCAACATTGAGACAGTGAAACTGAAGACATCAGAAAAGAAGACTTCCAGAAAGTGACAAGAAAGGGAATAAGTGTGTTC